GGGAAAAATCAAGAACAAGGGTTTTTTCATTTTCAAAAATCAACCAAAAGGGGTTCTATCTCTTCTTTTGTATTTAATCCACATTTCCTCCAAATTTATAATGAATGTTATGAATATTCTCCTTTGTTATCATATATTTTCTAATTTCTTGTGTTGGGATTTATGGTAGTAGCTAAATATAACTTTAATTAATTTTACTATTTGCTCTTTGATGTTAACATTACTTATGTCATGTGTATTTGCTATTGATTTTCATGCTATTCATTTATTTGGCAAAGAAATGTGTGCTAAGTGATTTGTTCGATTATTGAGAAAGTCTTGTACATTTTAGACCACGAAGTTCATGTAGGGAATAAAAATATACCCATAAGTAGGGTTGGTTAAGAACCGAACCGAACCAAAATTCTTGGGTATTTAATAAAGGAAACCGTTGGATCCAAATATAATTATGGAACCGTTCAGGTTCGGTTCAATTTGGTTCGGTTCTGTTTGGTTTCGTACTATGATTAAATTTTTTAACAGATTTCTAATGGTCAACGATAGGTGATCGTGGTTAAAGGTTGCGGCTTCGATGGGCGTTGGAGAGGGAAAGTCGGACTCAGCGGTCGGCTGTTTCGATTTGGGCATGTAAATGTAGGTTTTCAATTTATCAAATGATTTGAGGTCAGTGACTCAGTGGTTACCGAATGAAAGTGTGAAATTGGAAAGAGAATGATAAAAACTTTAAAAAAGGCTTACATCTTAGGCTAAGAATGAAATTAATAATAGGATCAAAAAATTAAATCAAAAATTGAATTTTGAAATTGGGTTGGATTGGGTTAGCTAGGCATGGACTTGACTTGAGAGTTAGAACATTAATCACAAAATTAGTAATTTGCTAATTTGTTTAGAAAAAATTAATTAATGCAATATAAAAAATTATTTTGATTCGGTTCTTATTTGATTATTCGGTTCAAGTTCGATTCGAGAGTTTTATCCAGCCCTACCCCTAACCCTAGGTGATCTATTGGGTTATTTTCACAAAATTTGAATGCAGTTATTTGGTTTCAATCGACATAAAGGTATAATAGATTAAATCAATCAACCATGGTTAATTTCACTCGAGAGATGTAATTAGATAAAATTGGACAATCGAATCTAATATCGTTAATAAGTAATTTGTTAATTTGCTTATGGGAAATTAACTAAGCAGCGGTTAAGCGGAACCATAATCTCAATCACGTTTTTCCTCCAAAATTCTCAAGTGCCATGTTTCCTTATTTTGTAGATTTTAAGTTAATTTTCCTTATTTTTCAAAATCAAATATTATTGTGTGTTTTTTTTTTTTTAATTGTTAAAATTAATTTGATTTAAAATTGGGGATTATTGTGCTCTAATTGTAGGAGTGGGCATTTTTTTCCCAGAGTCGATGGAACCGGACTGAATCAAATAGAACGGTAGGTTCGGCTTATATTCTTCTATTAAATGGGTCGATTTTGGGACAATGCATCGAGAAACGGCTCTCGATACTGCCTTGAGAACTAGTAGTGAATTCGGTTCTCCTGAATTTCTCTTTTTGCTTGTACTACGATGTACTAGATCTTTGAACACTAGACCCCAAAATTATTCACGCGTTTAAATTTCATTTTCTTTTATGCTTCTTCTTCCCTTAACTAGTAATCCAAAAATAAAAATTTTATAAATACTCTATAAATTAATAACTTTAATGCAACCTAATAGGAAAAAATATATTTGTAGTTCAATATTTCATAAGAATTCAAAATTTTCATTGTTTTCAAAGTGACCAGCCATCAAGAATTAAGATCCTTGAGTATTACTAGAGATAATATAGTTATTGTTATACGAATTTTCTTAAAAAACTATTTTTCAATTGAAATCTTAACGTTTGTGCTTTGTTTAATAGTTTATCCTTTTTTCGCCTTTGTGAGTTGATCTCGAGTCTTGGAGTGGATTTTAGTTTGTTGCCTTATTCAATTGATTTTTTTGCATTATTAGATTAAAAGAATGACAAGTGGTTTCATATTTTATTTTTGTTCATTTTTGTTTGACTAGCAGTTTCATAATTTATTTTTATAACTTTTTAATATAAAGAACCAGATCGGACCGAATCAAAACCGGTTGGTTCGGTTCCGCATCGGTTCTATAGTTGAATATGAAACAAATGGTTCCAATTTTAAGATTCTCACTGGTACTCGATTCTCTTCATAATCGAATCGAACCAGACTACACTCATTCTTATAATTATTATGAATTTGAGTTGACAAGTTAGATAGCCTTGCCGGTTTAAGATATTTTGATATTTAAAATTGTTGTTGATTCAGGAGTTATGACCAAATATGTTATTTGTACCTAATTTTTTTCAAAAATTGCTTATCTATTGTATAATCTTGAATTACTTTGAGTACAATAGTCATGAATAATTGTTATCCAAATGTGGAAATGTAACACCCCCCAAATCTAGATACCTAGATCTGGAAGTAATATTATTTCATTTTCTCTTAAAATCATAAATGCGGAAGCGATTAAAATTTTCTTTAATATAATGAACATCATTGACTTCATTTATGAACATAACTATCGTGTCTAAAGCTCAATAGCTCGGTAAACATTGTCATGTTTGAATCTTCCCCAGAAAGCATATATTAAACTAAGAGCAAAGAAAGAATAAAGGCAAACATTCAAGATCACTTAGGACAACTAAAGAGAAGCCTTGTATAGTATTGCTGCTTACACTAAGATAAACTTAGTAGGAGATGGCCGAATCTTTATTTTGTAACATTCATTCATTGTACAGGCCATCATATAAATTCACACACTATAATAATTCAGGATTCTAGGTTCTGTATCGTCCTTGAAGTTAATAGAAATTTAAGTTACCGTACATTGTTGCCACCTTCAAACGCTTGAAATCAATTCCCATTCTTCAGATCATTACCTGAAATAACATGTACGCAGTTAAACAACTAGATAATCAAATATAAATATCTCTTAGTAGTTCATGTCACAGTCACACAGCAAAAGTATCAGTAATGCATTTTGAAGAAAGGTAGAATCTTCTTTTTTAATGAAACAATCCAAGGTTAGTTCCTAATACCTTACTTAACAAGTCTTTCTATTCTAAGCCTCCGCTTGGATACAATTTATAAACAATTGTGCTAGACGTACACTCTTTTGTGCATCTATCCTTACATTCCTCATATGTTACATAATCTAGGCAGGAAAGAGAAAGATTGTTTGTGAAATCAAAGGGGATTATCATGCCATGTGGCAGAGTATAAGGAAAGATGAATACAAGAGTGTACATGTAGCATAGTTGATTCATAAATTGGTTTATAAATTAAAAGTCAAAATCAAATATTAATTTCAACTTGACATTCATCATAAATTGCTACCCATTTTTACACACATTGAGTATGACTGGGAACCGCTACTATTTCTCTTATTATTCCTATTTATAAACTATTTATAAATTTTTGAAACGGAGGCTAAAATATGCAATACTTAGTTAAAACATACAATGCTTATGGAGTAACTTACGGTATGAGAGAATAGCAAACGTAGCTTCTATGATGGCGAGAACAAGCAATGCAATGGCAGCAAAGACTGAAATGAGTGTCCATGGACTGTTGAAATATTTTCGCCTTAATATTGCCATCCATAATTCCTTTTGTGGCCACAATGATGGCTCACAAAGTAGAAAATATTAAAATAGGAAAACTCATCAAAAATTGTGATATTCTTGCCTATCTGGTTGATTACATTATAAACCATTTTGTCGCTCCCAAAAAGTTGCTAACGATTCCACAACGGCACAACAATTTTGCATCTTCACGGGAATGGACGAGACAATGCTTGAAGAATACAGTCTGTCATATATTTTTGAAGACTGCCTGTGAGGTAGTACTCATATGCAATCAGATTTCGGAACAATGTTTCTGTTGAATCAGAAAATTTCCATTCTGGAATGATCGTTGCTTTATTGTTGAATTCAATACCAAAAAAAAAAAAACCTATTACCTTCTGACTTTTTGAACGAAATCCCTGCCTCTTTGAGCTCTACAGCTGAATTTATATTCACCATTTTATCTGGATTTCCAAAATCCATCTGAGATAATATCATTGCAAAGGAAGAACACTGGATGTGATGTACGATACCAAGAAGATGGTGAGAATTAATGGGAACTTCAGGAAGATCTAGCACTTGGAAAATGCCATTTTGCAGTAAAGGCCATATTAGAGAATTGACATTGTCTTCATTATTGATCCTTATCATTTTGAACAAAAGATCAATGATGAAAAATGGAATCTGATTCTCAAATACCATTAGATCATGAAGCAAATGACTTTGTATATGTCCATACTGGAAAATGGGGTCATCTTCATCCATACATTCTATGTGTTGAAACTTATGGAGAAATTCGATGATAAAACAACCATCAAGAATCAACATTTGCACGAACTCACCTTCATCAAGTTGGATGTCTTCAGCATAACAATTCTGCGCCCTGTCTTCTAAGTGTCTTATTGGGATAGCATATCTTTCTACACTTGACTCTTTTCTTCTTTGAAGAGACAGCTTTAGATACCTGACTTTGTGTTGCTCCATGTCCAGCTATTTTCGACTAGGATCAATTTTTTTTTTTTTTTTTNTTTTTTTTTTTGGGAGAAATCTAAGGACTTTGGTTGTAAATTCTGGGGCAATTTTCTAGGGTTTTAAAAGATAAAAAAAACTCGGCCACAAGGAGGTCTCATTCCATTTTCTTCATTCTTTTCTTTTTTCCTTCTCATTTTCTTTTCTTTTTCTCTTCATTTTCTTGATATTTTGGTGGTCAAATTTAGGGCACAAGGAGAAGCAATTAAAGACATTGGAGAAATTTTTGGGGGAAATCAAAATCAAACTATTACCATCTTCAAGAATCTAACCTAAAAAAGGATTTTATCTTTCCTCTTGTATTAATCCGCTATTTTCTCCAAGTTTGTATTGTATTATATGAATCTTATCCCTTTTTACCATATATGTAAAATGAGCTAAGTTTTTGTGTTGAGATTTATGATGAATATTTAACCTACCTTGATTAATTTTAATATTTGCTTTTCAATATTAAAATACTTATTTGCATGTGTATTTACTATAGAATTTCACGATATTCATTTATTTGACTAATGAATGATTGTGTTTAGTAATTTGTACATCGTTTGAGAGAAGATTGTGCATTTTAAACCAAACAGTAAATAATCTAAATTTTTGTAGGGGATAGAAATATACCCTAACCCTAGGTAGTCCATTGAGCTATTTTCACAAAAATTGAATGATATTGGTTGGGTTTTAATCGACATAGAGAAATAGTATATTAAACCAATTAATTAGGGATAATTTCACTAGAGAGAAGTAATTAGTTAAAATCGAAAAATCGGATCTAACATCGTAAATGAGTAATTTGTTGATTTGCCTGTGAAGAAATAATTAAGCGACGATTAAGTGAAATCATAAATCTCAACCACTTTATCATCCGAAATTCCCAAGTTTTTATGTTTCTTATTTTGTAGAGTTTTAGTTATTTTCCCTTATGTTCATATCAAAAACTTAGTGTATTTGTTTTTATTGTTAAAATTAATTTAACTAGAACAATGTCTAGAACAATGTAATCGAAAGTAAACATTTCTCGAGAGATTGATAACTCGGACTCACAAGTCCACTTTATTACTTGAATGCAACCCGTATATTTACAGTACATAATTTCAGCGAACAAGTTTTTTTGTGCTGTTGTCAGGAATGTTTTTACTTTGATTACCATTTTAGTTAATTTTAGTTTTAACAATTGTTTTCTAATTTTATTTACTTTTCTTTTTATATCTTTTGGCTACCCTTCACAGTTTTAATTTACCTTATGCTCGTATTCTCTTTTTGTACTTTTCAGCTATTTATGCATAATTCTGATGGTAGTAAAGTAACAAAATTTTTGCAATTGATAATTTCTACATGGACTATGGATATATACTTGGAGTAGGTCTAATTTGTGAAATTTGTCAAGCAATGTATTGTATAGGGCAATGCTTGTATTTGTGCACTGATACACCAATGTCGAAATTTATTTGGTTTAGACAACATTCGAAATGTCGAAAATAAGCACTGGACAATTGTGATAAAAGTTATATGCTTGCGGGAGATTATATACCTGACGATTAGAATGAGGATATCAAACTTGTGGAAGATGGTCATCCCTTATTAAACGAGAAACTACTTGTAAAGTATTTTAATTAATTTGTCAAGTTGGATGAAAGCGACATACTTATGGAAAATTACATGTACTTGGATGGATTTCAAAAGTGTGTATAATTCATTTGAAGGAGCTTATAGGAAAAACTTGCTATTACCTGTGGAGTTTGATTGTGGACCAATCATTCAATCAGAAAGGGATATCAATTATTGACAGAACTCAAAGAGAATGACAATTTAATCACAAATGGACCGAAATAAAATGTTGCAAGCAATGAGGATGAAAGTAATGTACATTCTTCCGACTTCATTGATTGCCTGAAAAATGATTTTGTGAATAAGTCCGATGAGGACTTCTATTAATAAGTTGTTAGGGTTTGAAAAATTAGAACAAGACAATTCATTATCTTGCGAGGACCAAAAAAAAAAAACTCTAATTCTCTCATTTTTTGTTATCTATGTAGATATTCTCTCGAAGCTGGACGATTGAACAAATGTGGATTGCAAATCAGAACTTTGCACAATTTCTTTCTAAACACAAAGTAGGTCCTTGGGGGAATTGAAATATTATTCAAATTCCGCTATACATATTAAGAAATTTCCCAACATAATCAACGTTGAATACCTAGTCAAATGTCAACTCTCACCATGAATCTTCTTTTCCCCATGCTTGAATACACACATAAAATCAAGGTAGACAAGTCTCGATGTGATTTCTCCCATGCTGCCAATGAGATTTTTTGTATGCAGCAGAAGCATGATATTAGCGACAAAGAAGAACATGCCTAGAAGAACGATGATTTACAAACAATTCTGAGAATTTATGATTCAAATATTCATTGATTATTCGCGAGGAATCCGAGGCCCCACATCCGACCCTCCAATAGGGTGCCGCCACTTGGCCATGTAGTAATCCAAGGAGTAAACCAAGGAGTACATCTAGTTTAATCCTTAAAAATTATCGCCCAAACGCATACCTTACAACACAGTTCAGATTTTAATTCACGGGTAGCTGAGTGCTGCAAGTACTATTCAACCATACAACTAGAAGACAAGAAAAGGTAAATAACCACCAAATTTACAGTACAAAT